GGTCAGATTGCTGTGGCATCCTGTCCGGCTCACCTGCCAGCCCGGGGACTTCTCAGCCCCCCCGATCCGTCCAGGTGCACGTGCGGCCTGGACCGGCCACCAGCACAGTCCATCTCCCTGGACCGCCCCTCCCCGTTGCTGCTCCAGGAGCCCCCCCATCCCCTCTCCTGCTCCTCTGAGCCGGTGCAGGGGGGTTGGCAGGCCCGTCTGAGGTACTCAGACAGCCTCCATCCCTGTGGCAGGTGCAATGCTTTCCCTTGTGGGAGGGCCATGCAGGTGGATGAATGGGGGACCCCATGTGGGGCGGGAGGGGGGCATGGCTCGGGGAGGTGGGAGGGGACAGAGGGTGCTTGGAGGCAGGTGGCCGGGGGCTGGTGCTTTGTCATCCCGCTGTCCGTGGCAGGGGGACCCAGCTCCATGAGCCATCCACACTCCCCACCCCACGCGGGGTCTCGCTGGTGGCCAGCAGAGTCCCTGGGGTGACTGCAAGAGGGATGGATGCAAAGGGGCTCCATCTGTGACCTGCATGGGAGGGAGCAGTGTCTGAATCCCTGGGAAGCGCCACGGCTGACCACTGGGGACCCGCTCAGATTCATTAAAAATATGTCATGCTAGACTTATTGCATTTTTAAAAATCAATCAATTATTTATTTAATAAATATTTAGTGAGCATGCCTATGTGCCAAGAATTAAGCTAGAGCCTACGGATAGAGCTGTGAACGAGACAGAAAGTGGCTCACATTCTAGCTGCGGGGGCTTGTGAGGGTCGGGAAGGAGACAACAGGCAAAAACACGCGTGCCCCGGGTCACAATGGGGTGACGCGTTTTCTGCAGCCCAGGGAACTGGCCGGCGAGGTGGGGACTGGGATGTCAGGGCAGGGGTGGGGGGCGTGCCACAAGCCTGGTGGGTCCAAAAAGCACCCACAGGCAGCATTTCCAGATCACAGAAGCTTGGGAGAAAGCTCCTCATACGATATTTGCTAAAACGCGTTAATGCGTTTATTCCGTGGCAGGCCACGTGCCACACACCACATGCATTTTATCGATCCTCACGAGAGCCCAGGGATGGGTGCATTTTCTCTGTCTTGTGGGCGAAGACAGTGAGGCTCAGAGAGACGGTGACTTTCCCGTCCCAAGGTAGGAGGAGAGTGCGGAACTGGGACCCGAGCCCCGGCCCAGGCTGGTCACCCCACAACCCGTGACCACCAGGCTGCCTCCATCAATGCAGGGCAGAAACGGGGGCTGATGGCTCACACTTCACTGAGTATTTCCCGAGGGGGAGGACTACGTGGCCACCTGTGGAGGGGCAGGGCCGTGGTGCGGGCTCAGGCTGGGTCTGCTGCCCTGCGTGCCCGAGAGAGTCGGTGATCTGCATGAGGGCTCAGCAACTCCTCCAACACACTGCGTGCTTCTGGACGCCTCCCCTGCCTGGAATGGCCCCTACTCCCTACAACCCAGATAAAGCCTACTTCCCCTTTAAGAGTCAGTTGAAATGCCACCTCCTCCATGAAGCCCTCCCTGAATCCCTCCAAACTTTTGGTGTCATGCGCATATATGCATACACAGCCACCTGCCTTCCCAGCAGCCAGCTCCCTGCTTGTGTTCTGCTACCACCAGAGGAACAATTTTGGTCAAGTGGTGATGTGCATGAAGCTATAAGCATCCCAACTGATATAGCAGAGCTCCTTCTTTGTGGTACATTCTCACTTTCGGTGTGTTTCCTTGTCCAGTTCTCCACACCGGAAACTCCTTGAAGGGACTGCTTTTTCTTTTCAAAGAGTATTCAGTGTTCAACACAAAATCTAATGCAATGGGTGCCTTGCTCAGTGAATAAGTGAAAGGATGGAAGGATGGATGGATGGATGGATGGATGGATGGATGGGTGGGTTGATGGTGGATGGATGGATGGATGGAAGGAAGGATGGATGGATGGATGAATGGGTGGATGGTAGATGGGTGAATGGATGGGTGGATGGAAAGAAGGATGGGTGAATGGATGGGTGGATGGATGGATGGAAAGAAGGATGCATGGATGAATGGGTGAATGGATGATGGACGGATGGATGGATGAATGGACGGAAAGAAGGATGGATGGATGGAAAGAAGGATGCATGGATGAATGGGTGAATGGATGATGGACAGATGGATGGATGGATGAATGGATGGAAAGAAGGATGGATGGTTGGAAAGAAGGATGCATGGATGAATAGGTGAATGGATGATGGATGGATGGATGGGTGGATGGATGGATGGAAAGAAGGATGCATGGATGAATGGATGAATGGATGATGACAGATGGATGGATGGATGAATGGATGGGTGCATGGATGGATGGATGAAAGGATGGATGGAAGGAAGGAAGGAAGGAAGGAAGGAAGGAAGGAAGGAAGGAAGGGTGGGTGGATGGATGGGTAAGCCAGCAGATGATATGAAGCTAGGAGGCAATGTAAATACTTGGGGTCCAATCACTGGATCCACAAAGAGAGGCGCATATGGAGTCAAAAGCCAAACACAGAGGCAGGATTGAACGTGGGAGCCGATGGTCTGGTCCCTAGTTCCAGACCTGTCCAGTGGTAACTGGACATGTCAGTCCCACTGTGGGACCGCCATAGAGGTCCCTGTGGTATTAGGAATGTGGACGAAGATGACGTGAGGACAGTGGTGACATGTGACAGCTGTGAGGCAGAGCTGGATGGGGGCTGGGAGTAGCTCCGCAGTCAGGCCCAGTCCAGGAGGCCTCCTCACGTCCTCTTACTTGTTACCACTGCCACAGAGGAGGGCCTCATCCCAACCCTGGCCAGCTGGATACCTTACAGGTGGCCCACGCCCCGTATCCAAGTCCTTCTCCACCGCTTCCTGGATTCTGTCCTCCTCCTTCCTTCTCCACGTCTCTCCCAGAGTCAGCAGGTGCTCCCACCTGTCTCCCACCCCCTGGAGGGCTTTGCACAGCAGGTGCCGTGTGGCACTGGGCACAGAAATGGCACAGATGCCCAGCAGACCTTTCTTCTCCTCCTTGAGGCAACTCTCCACCCTGGGAGCAGCCACGTGGACTTCTCAGCTTGAATCCTGTCCCAAGCGACCTCCCCGAGGAGCAAAGCTGAAGCGCCCCTGGGCTCCGCTTGCTGTGAGCGTTGGGCATTCATCCACCTTGGGGCATCAGGAGCTTCCTCTGTGAAGTGGGCACGTGAAGGCAGCCACTGACTTATTGTGAGTCACCAGGGAGATAGTGGGCGGGAGGCAGCCGGGGCCGGCGTCACCAGCGCGAGCCCCGTGCAGACTTCCACAGTCCGTAAGGGATATGCATGGGGGCTATTCTGCAAAGCCAGGAACGGCGGGGCAGCCCAGGATGTCTCTCAGCCCTGGTACCCTTGCCCCGTGTCCCCACGGCTCCAGAGGGGACCGACTCTGTTCTAACTCTGGGGCTTGGCTGTGTGCACTTAGGCAAGCCCCCTTCCCCTCTGAGCGCCACTGGACTGACCTTCATACAGAGGGGCTCTGTCGGGTCCCAGGTCTAATCCTTTTCTTGCCCGCCCTGCACCTGTTGCAAACAGGCTCCTCCAAGTCTTGCCAAGCAGCTCTGCCCCTAGCGGTCGCCAGAGGCCTGACGCTCCCTTTCAGGAAGACGGGGCTCCTGCAGCCTCTGCCGGTCCTCAGCCCCCGGAGCATCTCCCCAGCCAGCCCTGGGTGAGGACAGGGCCCCCTGATGCACCCGCAGGGGTGGCCCTGTGGCTTGGGGACTTCTGAGGAGCAGGGGCAGCGGAGACGCTTGGAGGGGAAATCCTTAGGGCTGGATCCAGCCCTTATTTAAAGAGGGGGGCTGTGGATAGATGGTTGTATACCTGAGCGTCTTTATTGGCGCGTACCGCCCGGGGCGCGCGCGCGGGAGTGAGTGCGTGTGTGCGCCTGTGGGTCGGTGCCCCAGAGCGAGGAACTGCTTCCGTGGGCGACGGTCTCGGGGTGGGTCAGTCCCCGCGTGTCTGTGTGGGCGCCCTGAGCGTGCGGGCGCGGAGAAGGGGTCCGTGGGTCTGCCCGGGGGAGGTGCTCCTGCGCGTGGCTGGCTCAGGGCGCGTGTGTGCGGGAGGACGTGGGCGTCCGTGTCCAGCTGCGGACCACGGTGAGCCCGCGTGTGTCCGGCCGTGTTGGCATCCGAGTACCACAAAGGGTGTGACGCTGCGTGTGTGCCCGTCGCAGTGTCCCGGGTGGTTCGTGAGTGAGTGGGACGGGCCCAGGGTGTGCGGGTGAGCGAGAGGGGGTGTCCGCGTGGCTGGGAAGCGGGGATTCGCGTGTCTGTCGGATGGCGCGGCGCTGCGAGCGCCTGAGTGAGCGTGGCGGCGTGGATACGCGTGTCCGGGTGTGAGCACCGCACCGGCGGGCTGTGCGTGTGCGCGCGCGTGGGCGCACGCGCGGGTCCCTCGCTCCGCCGGGGAGCGCCCCCCGCCCCCGGCTCGACCCCTCCCACGCGGCGGGCGGCGGCGGGGCGGGCGCCTCTAGGACCCGGCGGCGGCCGGCCGCTGTCCCCGGGCCGCGCGAGTGAGCATGTGCAGAGCCCGCCGCCCCCCGCCGCCCGCGCCGCCCGCTCCGCGCGGACGCCCGCAGCCCCGGGAGCTGGCGGCGGCGCCCTGCTCCCCGGGGGGCGCGTCGGGCCGCTCGCGGGGCGCCGGGGCTCCGGGCGCTGCGGGGCTGCGGGCTGGGCGCCCCAGCCGGCCGCGATCGCGGGGTGAGTGCTGTCCCCCGGGCGCCCGCCGGGACCCCCGCGCGGGCGGCGGGCGGGCTCCTTCCCAGACGCCCGAGAACAAGTTTGTGTAGACGCGGCCGGAGCGCGGCGGGGCTGCACCTGCTCCCGCTCGGTGCGGCTGGCGGGGGGCGCCTCTGGGGCCAGAGTGGGCGCGCGCGTGGGGGCAGCACTGGGGGCACCCCGGGGTGGGCGGGGGCGCGCAGGGCAGCTTTGGACGCGTTGTCCCCGCCCCCCGGAATTCTCAGCGAGCGTCGCTTTCCGCGGAGGGAGAGGCGGATCGGGCGGGCAGGGGGCGAGCTCGGGGTTTGGGGTGCGCGCTGCCTCTCTCAGGAGGAGACGTGCGCCGGAGCAGCTCCCCTCGCTCCGCTGCCAAGCGAGGCTTCCGGTCAGCCGAGGGCTCTCTGCGTCTCTGTGAACTTGAACGGAGGCAGAGGCGAAGGCGAAACGTATGTATTCATGTATTTTGTCTGCAAAATTACCCCAAGCAGAGCTTTGCATCTCCCTAGGTGGGGACGGAGACAGGACTGGAGGCTGCTCATTGCGGTTTTCTTGTAAGTCCGGAGTCTCAGGGTGGCCCTGCTGGGGGTCTGTTTTCTGAGCCTCCGCTCAGGGGGGTGGTGCCTGCTGGTTCTCCTGAGGGAGGCAGGGGCGCAGAGCGACGCCCGTCCTTGCCTGAGCAGGGGGAGGCTGGACACCAGGGTTGGGCTCCCACAGCCCTGCCCGGGGATCCGGGGTCCACGCGCCCTTCCCTGGCGCCTGGAGATGGACAGACGGGGAACTCCACTGTACTTTTCTGACAGACAGCGTCAGATGCCACCACCCCGTCCTGCTGCTGGAACGGCCTGCTTCAGTTTAGGGAGGCACTGGGGCTGTCCCGGGTTGGGACGCCATGGCTCAGATCAGCAGATGGGGCCTTTTGTTTTCTCCTCTGAATTGCCTGGGATATCAGGCTCGGGAAGGGAGGGCTGGTGGGGCGGGAGGGAGGAGGGATAAGCCTGCGGGCCCTTCTGTCTGCATCTGTCTGCCGCAGCCCCTTCCTGGCCCTTGCAGGTGCTGGCGGCGGGGGCAAGGGGAGGATCCCCCCCAAGGATGCCCCTCGCTGCCCCCCCACCACACACCCTTGGCTCGGGTCTCAGAAGCCCCTCGGAGAAGGTGTCCCAGTGGGCCGCCAGAGCCCCGGGGTTCTGTGAGGACCAGCAGTTGGGTTGGCCCCAGAGCACGTGCGTTAGCGTCCCAAGCACACTCGCGGGGCAGCCCCGTCCTCCCCAGGAGGAGCCCCGTGGCCCTCGCCTGCGGCTACACCCTCCCACCCTCCACAGGAGCATTTCCAAGCTCCTCTGGAAGAAGGCTTGGTGTGGGGGTGAGGCGACCCCGCTTTCCAGCGGGGGTAGGAGCCCTGTGGGGTGTGGCCTGTGGCCATCGTGTATCCGGCTGGAATGAAGGGAAGCTTGGATTAGGCAGAAGGCCAGACCCCATCCCTTTCCCCCCGTCTGCCCAATCAGGCCAAAGTGGATATTCTGGGCCACCAGTTGGTCGGCTGCGAAAGCCCGAGTCTCTGGCCAGGTCGGTTAAGGCCCAGCGCTGAGGAGTGAGTCACAGGGCTGGTTCCCTTGCAGACGCTCCCGGCTCACGCTCCCATCCGGCTCAGACCCGGGTCAGCCGTGGTGAGACCAGCCCGCCTGACTCTCCCTCTGGAGCTGCCCTGAGGTCGGGGCCCAGGCGCTGGGGACAGCACAGTGTTTAGACCTTTATCCGGGAGACGCGCGTGATCGTCACGCCCACCGGCGGCGGGGCCCCGCTCATCTGGGGAGTGGGTGCGTGATCATGGCTGTGCCGACCCTCTCCTTGGGCCTCAAAGTCTTGTTTTCACACTATTTCTCCTAATCTCTCCTTGCCGTGGCTGTAATAATTACCGTGTTAACTTACTGCTTGTGCAGTTATCAGAAGCGTGACGCTTTTGGGGAACGTGGTTGGAGAGGCGCTGAGAAGGGGATGGAGGAATAGGCTGGATCAATTTAAGGGGCCATAAACAGGGCGCACCTGTTGGCTGCCGAGGCCCCTTCCTTCCACTGGAGAGCCTTGGCGATGGGAGCCCCAACCAGAGGGTGGCCGTCTTGGCCTGAGGGGGCCAGGAGGGTTCCAAGTGCAGGAGCGCCCAAGGCGCCCCCTCCCAGAAACGTGAATCCCCCATCCCAGCGACTGCAGGAGCCAGAGAAGGGCAAGGCTGATTTTGCATGCTCCACTCACTCTCCCGGATTTATCCGAATCGCTCAGAGGGGCTTGGATAACCCTCCAGGGTTCGCCCCTGAGTGAGAGAAGCAGAGGAACAAATGAACAAGATAGGGTTCTATGGAAGAGGTGGGCCCGCGGTAGCCCAGAGAGGTTGCCTTGGGCTGTTTCGAGGGTGGGTCAGGCTCCACATCCACGCACAGGAAAGGGAAGGCGGCAGGCCCCATGGCGGCTCCCCGCTTTCTTTACGGCCTGGAGCCTGACGCCCGGACGGACCCGCGTCTTGGAGGTCAAACAGATGGAGGCTGTGTGACGTGGCTCATCCGAAAGCGTGGGTCTCGTGGAGCGGCAGCTGCTTGTCTGGGGCCCCGCTCAGTGGCCCTGCTTCTGTCAGCTGCTGCGTCCCTACGATGGGCCCACGGAGACTCCCGCCTCTCGGGTTTTCGGGGAGATTGCTCATTCATTTCCCGATCTGTTCATTCCGTGCACAGGATGCCGTGTCTCTAACGTGGTGCAGGGAGCCCTGTGTGTAGGAACCTCAGCGGTGGGTGTGAGGGAGCACCCTCTCCCCCCTTCGCACTGAACGGAGTTTTGACCTTTCTCTAATGCCTTATACCTTCTTGGCAACATTTCTCATTTTGGGCTTTTTCACCTAAGTTCTGCATTCAGAAGATCAAAGTATCCGGCTTTTCAAAGTCAGCTACCCATTTCCCTGACCTTGTCCTGCCCGAGGACCTGGAGATTTGAATCCCGTGGGTCCTTTGCTCTCTTTGGTCTGAGCCTCCAGGATGCAGAGGCTGGGGCCCCAGCATGTCCTGCGGGTCTGTCCTGTGTCCACCCAGAGCGGGGCACTGAGTGTCCGTGCCCGCAGGGGGCTCCCGGGCTGAGAGGAAGAGTGGGCAGAGTAGCGTGGAGCCCTGACTCCGGGCAGGACACATCGCCCAGGTGCCGTTCCCAGAGCATCCCGGCCCAGCGTCGAGCTCTGGGGGACCAGGAAGACTGCATGGAAGAGGTGCATTGAAGCAGAGCCTTGATGGCCACAGAGCACTTCAGAGTCACGCGAGGGGTCACAGGGCCCCCGGCCAACGGAAGAGCGTGCGTGAGGGGGCGTGACGCAGCTCCTGCCGGCCAGGGAACACTGTGCTTGGGACGCGGCCTTCCGCAAGGGGCCGGGAGGTGGAGTGTCAGGCTGAGGAGCTTGGGCCTGGCTATCCGAGTCCAGGGGAGCCCCTGCGAACGGCAGAGTTACTGGTTCTTCGTGTTGGGAAGGTCACTTTCTTAGGCTTAGCCTTTTGGAGAGGGCGCAGTGTCCAGTGACTCCGGGCAGAGGCAGGGCTGGAGGGGAGGGAGAAGGCAGAGGGGGCTAATTCAGAGCCCCGAGCCCAGCCGGAGGCTCCCTAGTGAGGCCTCCTGGGGGTCCTGAGGCTGAGGAGCGCCCCCACCGGCCGCTGCACCAGCTGCTGGTCCTGGAGGCTGGAGCCCCGAGCTGCGGGGACCCCACTGCCCATCTCCTGGGGGGGGCAGCGTGCTGCGCCCTGTGCCTTTGTCTGAAAGACTCTTGCCTCACTGGGAGCACGTGGCTCTGAACCCCGAGGGTCCCGGTCCTCACTGCTGTGGCCACAAGGGCTGAGATGCTTCTGGGGGCACCTGGAATCTTTCTCCTCTCGCCTGCCCCTGACTGTCCTCTCTGGGGCGGGGGGGAGGGAGGCAGAATCACGTGACCAAACCCCAGTGGCCCGGGGTCAGGCCTGGGCCCCTCCGAGCTTTCTCCAGCCCCCAGGCCCCAGGGGCTGCCTGCTGTCCTCTCCCTGCTGCAGTCCCTGGGACCCCCCCCCCCCCCGCCTCTCTTGAGCGTCAGGTGCCATCTGCCTGACATCTCCCCACCTGCAGGCTCAGCACCTGCTGCCCCCTGGGGCCCAGGTGGCAACAAAGTAACAGGAGAGCGCTCAGGTTTTCTGAGCCCCCCCCCGCGCTAGGTTCCTGCTCCCTCCTGAGACCCTCAGAAGCCCTGGGCCCCTTACTCTCTCCTTGCTGGGAGGGGACTCTGGATCCTCCCCCCCCCAGGCCCTGTCTTCTCTGGGGTGCTGCCGGCACTGGGCAGGGCAGCGAGTGTCCCCCTTTGTCCAGCCTGAGGCTCCATGCTGAGCCCCGGCCCCCCTCCTGACGAGGCCCCAGCCTCAGGCAGCGGTGTGTCCCCTCATTCTCCTCTCCCTGGAGCTCGCTCGTTGCTTGATTACAAGATGGGAGGTGCCGCGGGAGGAGAGCGGCTGGGGGAAGAATGACTCCCAGCCGACAGGGACGGCACACAGCAGCGTCCGGGACGCTAGGCTGGGGCACGCCATGAGCAGCGCCGTCTCCGGAGCTCGGACCTGGCCTGGGCTCAAGACGGGCTGGGGGAGGCACGCGGAAGGCCTTTCGAGAAGACGTCCCGCCTCGTTCGCTGCTGGTGCCCCTGTGGGCCCGGGCGGGCTTTGGAGCGGGGAGCCCGGGCGTGCGTGCCCCGGGGTCTGACCACAGGCGGTGCACCTCCCCCTGCAGGGCTCTAGGGGCCGCGGCTCTCGAGGGGGGAGAGCAGGGCACCTGCATGGGAGGGGTGCGTGGAGTCACTGGATGGGGCAGGGGGCGAACGCGGCCCAGCCTGGCTCCTTCTTCTTCTAGGAGTGCTTCGTGGGGGGGGGGGGCGCTGAACAGGGAAGAAGTTGCGAACAGCCTGGGGTGGCTTCTGGCAAGGATGGGGTGCCGGGCCCACCCCAGGGAGGCGAGGGGCCCCTGGAGACTGAGGTCACCTGTGACATAGCTGCTGGGGGCCCCTCCTCGGCGTTCACAACAGCGGGCACCATGCTTTGTAGGGAGCAGGGCTTTTCCCCCTGGACCCATCCCACAGCCTTGCTGATGGCCCCATTTCACAGATGAGGAGCCTGAAGCTCCGTCCTGAGCAATGCCTTGCCCCACGGGCACCACCGATGGGCTTCCCCCCGCCCCCGAGCAAACCGGCCATGGCTGGACAGCCCCCGGGCGCTGGTAGCTTGTGCCGTGGGGCTGACCCTGTGGCCGGGCTGGGAGCTCTGGCGCAGATGTGCCCCTCCCCCAGCCGCCCCCGGCCTCAGCGGACGTCCAGCATCAGGGCGCCGCTGGCTGTGTGTGGGGTCTGGGGGGTTGATGCTACGTCAGGTGTGATCGGTGCCTTGCCCGGAGGGGGTGTCCGCCTCGAGGAGGGGTGGGGGTGACCAGCGGGTGTGATGCTGGGAGGAAGGGTGGCAGAAGTCCGGGGCAGGGGACGTGCCGGCCCCCCACACCGCCCCACGCAGGTGTTCTGGGCTGGGAATCAGCCTTGCGATTTTAGAAGTTTAGGGTGGCAGCCTGTTTTATAGGACCCTGGAAGTGACCGTCCCTGCCTCCACGCCCAGGCCCCCTCCCCAGACCAGGAGGCCCCCCTGGGAGGGACTGACTCCGGAAGGTACTGTGGGGTCCGTGATCACTGGGACCCTGACCGATGGGCCCTGACAGCGCCCTGCCCACCACACGCGGCTCCCCCACATTTCGGGCTGGGGCCCCGCAGGTCTGGGTTGGTGCCCCCTGAGCGCTCGGGGCCCCAAGACCCCACGGGAGGAACAGCTTTCTGATACCAGGATTAGCCGGTCAGTTTATCCTCTCGTTCGCCCTAAAAACTGTGTTCAGAAACCAGGATCGCGGCACATCCACACTGCTGGGCAGGCCTCATGCTGGGGCCGGAGTTACGGGAACGAGCGGGGTATGGCCTCTCGCCTGGAGCTGGTCGCAGTCCTGTGTGGATGATCGACAGGACGACATGTTTCCCAGGCTGCTGGGTGCTGGGTTAGGGGTCAGCACGGCTGTAGGAAGGCAGAGGAGTCTCTGCCAGTGTGTGTGTGTGTGTGTGTCACTGGGGGTGGTCAGGGAAGGCTTCTTGGAGAGGTGGGCTAAGCCTCGGAGGTTACCCAGGGGTTCACTGGGCTATGAGGATGGAAAAGACAGAAGAGGCCCCAAGGCAGCGTGCTCCAGTGGCCGGCTGGCTCGTGGTGCGTGCACGCTTGCACGCGCGTGTGGTGGGAAGCCCAAGGAGAGGGCTGGGCAACGGACGAGCCCGGGTGGGGCCTTGTGTGTCCCGCGGATGAGCTTGGAGTTACTCCCCGAAGCCACGGGGAGCTCTTGGAAGGGGTTTTGAGCGGGGGGAGCACCGTGGTCAGAGGCTCACCCTGGCGGCCTCGCCGAGGGTGGACTGGAGGCCCAGAGCTGGAGGCAGGGGGATCAGGCAGGATTTCTTGGGATTTCCTCTCTGGCGTTACAAATCTGACGAGGCTGGCTGGGGCAGGCCCGGCGCACACCAGCTTAACGCGAAAGTAAGAGCTCCGGAGACCCGCGCAAGTGGCTTCCCGGCTCAGAGTTTAAATCCAGCCCCGTCTGCTGACCGTGGAGCTACCCCCCCCCTGCCCTGGCCGGCAGGACCTGCCCCCCGCGATCCCAGGCCCCGGTCCTCGGCGGGGGAGGGGGCGGCCTCGGGACCTGGGGTCTGGAAAGGGCGGTGCTGGCCGGGGAGCCGCTCTGGATCCCCGCCCCAGACACAAGAGCCCAAACATTGTCTTTCTGCTCACACGGGGCTGGCTGTGCCTGCGCACAGAGCACTCATTGAGGGGCCGCGGGGCCTGGCGGGGGTCCCGGGCCACGTTAGTCACGCTCCTGGGAGCTTTTCTTCCCGGGACAAGACCTTCCTTGTGCCGAGGGCCACCCTCACGCAGCGGCCTGGCTCCCGGCAGCTGCAGAGCCCCCGCCAGCCCCTAGCAGCCCGCTTCAGAGGCACCGCCAATGGGAGCCAAAGCCCAGTGGGAGAGCCGAGGGCAGCCCCGGAAGGCCGTGCTGAGCTGAGCGCCGCCCGCTGTCCCGCCAGGCGCCCCGGCCTCCGTGAGCAGGTGCGCGGCCCCGCACCCTCTCCCGGGCTAAAGCCCATCGGCCTCTGCAGAAGCAGTTTCCAGAACACAGCTTCCAGGCCCAGGGCGCCCCCAGGAGTCGGCAGGTTGTGCACATGCATAGAGCCCCTGCTGCGTGCCCTGGGCTGGGTGCTTGTATGTGCTGGTGTCCGTCGCTGGCCGGACCGTTTACTAGTTCAGGGTCCAGGCCCCGAAACAGATCCTTCCAAACCTCGGCTCCTCCGTCCGCCAGCTGAACGACGTGGCAAAGTGCCCTTGCCTCCTTTTGCCTCCTCTGTAAAATGGGGCCAGCGTCCACCTCGCTGCTTTGCCCTGAGGGTCGAAGGAGATAGCACGTCAGGGCCTGGCCTGTGAGGACTGCGTGCAGAGCCGCCTCTGTCCCCGGGCCTTCACGGCTGTCAAGCGGATGGGGCGGCGGAGGCCCAGTGACGGCCAGGGGCACCCAGCCAACGGGGGCGGAGCTGGGACCCGAGCCCCGCTCTCTGTCTGGGGCTCCTGCTGAACAGGTGTCCCCTCTTGGAGACAGAGGCCCCGGACCTTGCATCTCAGCGTGCTCTCTCCGCTCTTCCAGATTCTCCGGCCGGGCGTGCCCATTGGTGGAGCTCAGCGACGGCGGAGCTGGTGACGCTGAGGCAGGACCCACAGCCGCGGGGCCCCGTGGCCGGGGCCATGTGATGCTGCCCCCCGAGCACCTGCCGGGATCAGGGCGGGAGGACCGGGGAGCCTGGAGGCGCGCAGGCTGGTGCCGGGTGCCAGGATGAGGCTGCTGGGGGCCCCGGCCTCCCCCGCCGTCGGGTGCTAGGAGCCGTGCCCAGGCTGCAGCTGGGAGCCGCCGCCCGGGGGCATGGCCAAACCCCTCTGCCGCCTGCAGAAGCTTCTCCTCCGAACGCAGTTCCTGCTCTTCTTCCTCACGGCCGCCTACCTGATGACGGGCAGCCTGCTGCTGCAGCGGGCCCGCGTGGCCCTCCCACCGGGGCCCCGAGCGCCCGGCCCCCTGCAGGCCCTGCCCGTGGCCGCCGTGGCGCTGGGCGTGGGCCTGCTGGACAGTGGGGCGCTGCAGGCCCCCCGCGTCAGCCCGGAGCTGCTGCTCGGCGTGGACGTGCTGCGGAGGCCCCCAGCCCGGCCCCGGCCCGGCCCCCGCGGGCTCCGGAGCCGGAACTCAGAGCTGCCCCCGCTGAGGCGTCGCCGCTGGTTCCACCACCTCGCGGGAGACGCCCGGGGGCCGCCCGCCCCGGGCCCCGAGGCCCCCAGGCCCGTGGCCAGCAGCCGAGGTAGGTGCTCAGCCCTGGCTCCCCTCGCGCGTTGGGGGGCCCAGGCCCGGGGGGCAGGGCTGGCTTTCCCCTTCTCTGGCCCCGGGCCCACCTGGGATGGAAGCCCTCAGGCCCGCGGCCCCCAGACCACCGGCTCTGTCCGCTCTGCGGGAGTTCTGCTCGCACCCGGCTGGGCCGGCCCCGTCATCCCGGAGCCCAGCCTCTGGGTTCGGGTGGACCTTAGCTGGCGTCCTGGCTTAGCGGCAGGCTTGACAGTGACCTTGGACGTGTGACCTAACGGCCCCGGGTCCCTGGGGAGTGGAGACAGAGATACCCACCCCAGGGCTAGTGTGGGGATGAGATGGGACCGCACTGAGGGCCCCAGCGTGGCAGGCTGTCCCACGTGCAGGTCCTCGGCCTCCCCCGAACGCGGGGTGGGGCGCGTCTGCACAGCGTCAGCGGGTGATGCTGGTGCTCGCGCAGGCGGAGAGCCCTGGGCGGGAGGGCCCGGTCGTTTCTCGGCACCGGTCACCGGCAGCTAACTGCCACGGCGTTTACAGTGCACCTGTAAATGGTATTTATGGGCGTCACCACTATCGTGGTATCCCGATCCCCCAGGGGAGACACTGGGTATGGGGACGTTCAGTCAGTTGTTGAGGTCACTCTCCTGCTTTGGGTTCCCCGGAAGCCTTGGCCTGTCTGGAGTGTGACCCCAGAACACTGGCAGGGAGCGAGGAGGGAGCTGGGGAAGAGAACACGGCAGGGGACGGACTCGGAAGGAGGGCAGAGTGCACATCTCGGAGTGCAGCCTGGAGGCGGCGGGTCAGGAGGAGGGCCAGGCCTTTTTTCTCAGGATGGTGAGAAGGTCCAGGGAAGAGGGAGGAGCCCCTGCAGCCCTTGCATTGGGGGGATGACTGATGGTCGGTGAAGCCCAGAGGACAGTGCCCTCCTGTCTTCATAGAAGGTTTCTCCCGAGATCACGTGGGTCAGAGCCCTTGCTGCGGGGTTCCTCAGGAGGCTTCCACCTAAGAAAGGGGGACATGAGGAACAGATTCTGCTGCTCAGTCTGCACAGGCCTGCCTTCCGTCAACTCGCCCCAGCACCCCAGGAAGCTGGGTCTCTATGCGGACTATATCCACGTGACTCATTTAGACTCAAGTGTGAATGACTGACAAAGTCAACACAGAATCCTTGAGCAGCAGCCTTGGAAAGAGTGCAGGTTTTGCAAACAGACCTGGGTTTCTCTCTTGGTATAGCCGGTCACTGGCTCTGTGACCTTGGGCAGATTGGCCAGAGGTCAATTCCTCTTTATTTCTCTCCATCTGCCCTTCTCGGGGATCCACGCCTGAGTCTGCTACTGTCTGTGCCCTCGAGGAGCTCAGTCTGGGGCCGAACCGTCACCATGCAGCAGTGCTGAGGCTCGGGTGGAAGGTCGTTATGACCTGGCCAGCAGAGGGGAGGGCTGGGGTGACCCAGTCAGAACCCCGGGGGCAGCCCTGGGCTCCACGGCATCCCCCCTAGCTGCACGGCGGACAGGGCATAGCAGTGGCTGAAGAGACTGGGGTGAGACGTGCTAGGGACCAGAGGGGAGTGTCGGGGTGCTGACCGCCGTGAGCCCTGGGGCGCCCTCCCCATGACCCAGCACAAGGAGGAGCCTCAGGGCCAGTGTAGAGGATGGCAGCTCTGAGTGGCCTGTGCCCTCCCCGGCCGCCAGGACCTGGGGAAGCGTTTGTGCTCTGGGGGTGGCTGTGGTGTCACCCGGGGCGCCCCCCGGCCCCGGGCTGGTCGTGCTTGTCACAGACAGAGAGAGTGGCTCTTTGCGTCCGGGCAGCCCGCCATGCTCCTGGAAGGGCCCTGCAGAGGGCTGGAGCTGCAGGAGGCCCATCAATCACCGAGCATTTCATTACACCTTGGACAACATCCATAATGGAGTAAAATGTCAGTAAGTTTACTAGGGGAGAAATAGTAACTTCCCCCGCGCCAGTTTGTTTTTTATTGATAGTGATTTCCAAAGACATTCCGATATCTCCACGGCCGGCGTTAACAGCCTCACGGCACGTCCGTGTTGATGTGCAAATGAACAGATGCAGACTCACAGACAGTAACGTGTTGCCTCCGTTTTAGCCGCAAGCAATAAATCCGCCTCCGAATGCGTCCCAGTGTGTTCCCCGGACGCCCTCGGCTCCCTTGGAGCTGGGAGAGCCGCCCGGTAATTTTCCAGGAGGGAGGGCTGGTCGCCTCCCCCGGATGGAGTGGGCACGGGGGTCCCGTGGCGCGGCCCCCAAGCGTTTGCTCCTCTCTCACCCGCCCGCAGGCCAGGTACCCCACTGCCGTTTTCCCGTCCAGCGTCTGGCTAGGTCCCAGCCGCCCCAGCACAGTGGTGACAGCCTGGGCCCGCGCCCAGCGCTTCTTGCTGGGACCCCAAGCGCTGACTCACTTCATCCCCGACGGCCTCGCGGGGGGCCAGGACGGGGGCCGCCGGCTCAGCGGTGAGGGCCTGCAGAGTCCGCGCCCTGTTTGTTGTTCACATCAACACAGTGGCCCCCCAGCGCCCTGCAGGCCGTGCCTGCCTCCCACCACCCGCCTGTTACCCCCTCTCTCTGCCCTCCCGAGCCCGCGGGGCCCGTCCCCACTTCACAGTGGGGAAGCCGAGGCACAGTGGGGAGGGGGCGGCACGGGCCCAGATTCGTGCCCCCGCCCCGCCGCCCAGCCCCGGCCGTGGACCCCTTACACGCTTACAGTTAATTTCCCATCAATGGTGATAAACGTCTAACCACCCCTGAGCTTGTGTTTTGGGGCTTAATTGAAAGTCGTAACAGAATTTCTTCTTCGCTGAGCAACACATCAGAAATTTCTCAAATACTAGTTTTCGTTCACCAAGTAGGCCGCTGAGGGTAACCCTTTATTCCTGCTGCTGGTGGAGGGGTGGGTCTGGTCTCAGGGGTCCTGACCCATCCGTGACCCCGGGGGGCTGGCGGCCTGAGCGAGAGCTGGTGCTTGTGGACACGGCTGGTGACGGGCATCCTGGGGCCAAGGGGACAGGGAGGCTCATGGCCCCGCGGGCAGACAGTGAGGAAGGTGATCCTCGCTCCCCGCTGCCCCGGGGCTCTGCCTCGGCGACCCCAGCTCGGGGGTGGAGTCCCGTCTCTGGCCACCCGCTCACCTCCCACTGCTCTGTGTCTGTTACTCGGGGCCCTGGGAGCCCCTCCTTGCGTCCGAGCTCCTGTTCCCCAGCCCTGTCCTTGCAGGGTGTCAGCCTGGTCCTGGGGGCCCCGGCGCGCCGTGGACACGGCGTCCTGGTGCTGACCGTGTGCCGGACCCAGCGGGGCCCCCGCGGACACAGGGCACACGGGTGTAAGAGACTTTCAACAGCAGTAGTTAGGAGACGCATTTGGGTGTTGACCAGGTTTTCAGATACAGAATGCAGGAATCTGCAGCAAGGAGAGGCCGTGGCGGGCTGGTGGTCCTTGGCGGGCTGGCGTGGTCGGGGACGCCCGTCCAGGACGGGTGGGAAGCGGAGGGTGGGCGTGAGCGGGGGCGGGCACAGCTGCACGCAGGGGGCAAGGGGAAGGGGCTCGGGCGGGGTGCGGCAGGTGGTGGGCCTTTATCCGCTGGGCGGTTAGGGAAACTGAGGCACAGAACGTTGCTGTGACGTAGCCAAGGTCAGAGACACAGTTAGGTGTGGACTTCACAGACGGGACCGTCGCTCCCGGATGCGGCCCCGGGAATGAAGGTCGGGGACCCACTTCTCCGAACCCCTTGGCTCCTGCTCTGGGCCGGGATCCGGGCAGGAACACTGGAGTGTCGCCTGCCCTCGGGGCACCGGGCTGGGGGGCGGGGCGTCGTCCCGCCAGCCGTGGGGACGCCTTGGGCGCGTCACCCCCCAGAGGCAGCGTGTGCCGTGTGGGTGCCCTTCAGACGTCCTCGGGCAGCGGGCGGCGTCTGGGCATAGTCCCTGGTGTGCATGCGCGGCGTGGGGCCCGGGGAGCTCCTGAGCCACGTGGCGGTGCGTCCACGCGCCCGGTGTGCTGGCTCTGTGCTCGTGTTCTCCGGGCTTCTCTGCGCGTCTCTGGGAGAACCCTCTGCGCCAGGGGACGGAGAGGTTAGGTGTCACGGCTGGGACGTCACCGCCACTGCTTGGTGGAGTCTCGTCCCCAGAGGTGCCCGGGCGGGCGAGCGCTCAGCAGTCCCATGGCGCCCGACAGACACCACGTCCACGCCTCCAGCCACGGCGTCTCACGTCCCCCCTGAACGCAGGTTTTTCTCTTGAGATAGCTGTTCCCGTTTGCAGGATGTTCTTTTTAGCAAAAGTCAGATTTACCATAACTGATTTCTTTCCTCCAGATCCTACAGAGGTGGCAGGATCCGTCGGTTGGGACGTTTGTGGAGGCGGGGGGTGCTTTCCGAGCGGGGGGCGGGCAGGGATGGAGACAAGGGGTCCCGGGAGGGGATTCGGCAGCAGACGCAGTGAGATGGGGCTGTTAGAGGAAGTGGTGGCCGTGCGGGGACAGGTGTTCGCGAGCGCCGGGGGCAGGTGCGACCTCGCCTGGCGCCCGGGCCCTCCGAGGACCCCTCCCGAGGGTGGGCGCGCGGCAGGACCGTCCTGAGCCGGCCTGAGTCTCCGCCGTGCTCCCCGCCCGCAGGTGCCTACGTCGGCTGCTTCAGCGACAGTGGCCGCGACAGAACGCTGAGGGGCGCCGTGTTCTTCGACTTGAGAAAGATGACGGTGTCCCACTGCCAGGACGCGTGCGCTGAGCGGTGAGTGAGGGCCCCGGGCCGTCCAGCCGTGCCAAACCGGGGGGCACATGGCCGCCAGGGGGCCATCCTGCTGTGCCTGGAGCTGGACGGGTCAGCCCCCCGGGTCACGGAGGATGCTTCCCTGGGCCTGGGTTTACTTTATGTTCAGACTACAATAGAGGGCTCAGCTTCAACGTCACCTCCTCCAGGAAGCCTTCCAGCTTGGTCACCATCCATTGCGCCCCTTTTATAGACGGAGAAACTGAGGCTGGAACAGAGAGGAGGGGCTCAGCCTTGCAGGGCAGACAGAGTAGAAAGTGGCACCGACTAAGTGCCCTTTTACCTTCCCAGCGTTTCGGGGAACAGACGAGGAGGTGGTAAGGGACGGTCGGGGCCACGTGGCCAGCAGGTGGCCACAGACGAGGATGCGGAGCGCCAGGGGGTTTCAGACCTCGGAGCCGGGGGTGTGAAAGCGCTGGCCTCTAGTTTATCACGAAGGGAGGCCTGCTCCCCAACGTCAGCCGGGGGACCCCGAAGTCTGGCCGAGCACCAGCCCCTACGGCCAGCCATGTGCCGATGGCGCCGCCCTGGCCTCCCGGCTTGACCCTGACCTCGGTCGCGGCCGCCGTGGGGCCGGGGCCGCGACTGAGCGGGGCCGCTCTCCCTGCAGGTCCTACGTGTACGCGGGCTTGGAGGCCGGGGCCGAGTGCTACTGCGGGAACCGGCTGCCGGTGAGAAGCGTCCGGCCGGAGGCGTGTAACCACGAGTGCAAAGGGGAGAAGGGCTCCGTGTGCGGGGGCGTCGGCCGGCTGTCTGTCTACCGTGTGGAGGACCTGCAGCTCGGCTCCAGGAAGCGTGAGTGTGTCCTCCCTTCCCTGTTGCCCCGCTGGAGGGGCTCGCGTGGGGGCGGGGGCGGCCGAAGACCGCGTGGGCTCGTGGCCTGTGGGACAGACACACTCATCAGGATGCCTGGGCCCACGCGTCTCGCACGTGCTGTGTGGCCCCGGGCAGCTTGCTTCCCCTCTCTGGGCTCCTGTTCTCCGTCAAGTGCAGAGGCAGCTCTAGATGAGCCGCGGTGGGGCCGAGCGGAGGCTCCGAAAGTTTCCTGGCCTTGCAGCGCCTAGACGTCCCGGGCAGACACGAACAACCCTTGGAGAGCCTGGGCCCCGGAAACAAAGGGGGACTAAGATGGCGGTGCGGAGGCCAGAGCGGGGGGAGGTGCGCGGCCGGGGCCTCCTCTGCAGAGCGGGGCTGCCAGTCCGGGGGCCGCAGTGGCAGGGACGGAGTCGGCCCCAGAACTCTGCACACGGGGACGTTCGGTTCCGCTGAAGTACAAATCCGTGAAATATTAGGTTCCAAAGGAAACACCACCTGCCAGTTTAGGGAGATAGACGGGTCAGTTTTGACCTGAGCAGGAGCTGAGATTCAAACCACCAAGCTTGCGGTGCGGGCCTGCATCTGGGTGAGGCCAGAGGCCCAAAGTTTTACCGCCCACCTGGTCCTGATGCCCCGACCTGACGGCTGGCTCCGGCCGCGTGGAGCCGATGCTCGGTCTCCTGAGGGCTGCGCCCCCGACTCGGGCGGGTGGAGGTCCCCCAGACAAATCCTCACTGAGGATAAGCTCACGATCCAAAATTATAGAAGGCGGGAGGCGGGAGCCGACCGCAAGGGGCAGTGAGCTGATGCGCCGGGAAGCAAGAATGCGCCCCGAGAGTTGCCGCTGAAAATGTCCAGCGAGCTGCAGCTGAAGCTCAGGTGCATCCACCGCAAGGCGACGCGCCCCAGATCCCCTCGATGCCGTTGTCGGGGGCTGCTTTCTAAATGCTGTGGTGGGGCACCTCTGCCCACGTCGGGGACACCTTGTCGTGATGGGGAGCGGTCGGGCTGGGCGTGGGAGGAAGTCGGAGCCGGGGAGACCTTCTCCCAGCCCTGGCAGAGCTGGGACCACGTGACCGCCGTCTTAGCTTTCGGCTTCCCACCAGCAAGGAGCACTTGCAGGGCTGAGATGGGTGAACGTGCTCCCGGATGGTGGGCACCGGGCGGTCGAGGGTGTCAGCGCTTCACCATGTGCCCCGAGGGGCCCTGGGCTGTCCCCTGGGCACGAGGGGGCCGTGTGCCCGGGCTTGCAGCCCCTCCCCTGACAGACGCACAGCACGGACGCGGCTGGTGACGCTGGGACCGCCAGCCCGAGGCAGGCCCCGCCACGCCTCACGTGCCCGTCCGCTGCCGTCCACTCGTGGGGGGCTCGCCGGGCCCAGCTGGTGCCCAGACCGCAAAGTGCTGGCCTCCCGGGTGCAGGCTGGGGACGGGGTCTCCGCGCTGCTGAGGCGGGCAGAGGGCACGACAGCGAGACTGCCGCCTAAGCAACCCTGACGAGTGCGGACGGAATGTAAGCTGTCGGAGCTGGAACATTCCAGAAGGCTCAGCACCCAGGACGCCGCGAGGGGCTGGACTTCTCCCCCTGGGCTGGAGGGCAGCTGGGCAGAGGCGCCCGCGGAAGCACGGGCTCGAGGAGTGTTCGTGGGGCCTGGTGGGAGCTCGGGGGGCCGGGGGGAGAGGGAAGGAGGGACGGACGGGGGGACGGACGCCGTGCCCCGGGGCCGGGGGGAGAGGGAAGGAGGGACGGACGGGGGGACGGACGCCGTGCCCCGGGGCCGGGGGGAGAGGGAAGGAGGGACGGACGGGGGGACGGACGCCGTGCCCCGGGGCCGGGGGGAGAGGGAAGGAGGGACGGAGGGGGGCATGGACGCCGTGCCCCAGAGTTCGGGGGAAGCCGGCCTGAGGTCAGCACGTGGCAGCCACGTGGTCCCTTGTCGGTGACCGTGGTGGGGAGGTTCGGGCGCCCGGGGTCTCAGGAGTCTGGCCCGTCCACACCCGGTCCAGGGCGGTCTGCTGTCTGGTTTGCTGACTGTATTTGCCGAAGCCACCGTTTCCCCACGACAGACACCAACAACCAGGGGCACCGTTTCTCACCAGAAACCTGTCTGTCCCCGCAGGGAGAACCGTCACATACCGCGGATGCTTCCGGCTGCCAGAGAATGGCACACACACCTTCCCTGAGTCCCTGACACAGGCCAACGTGACGGTGGACGCCTGCTCGGGATTTTGTTCCCAGAAGGTAAGGCCACCCACAACTCGTGCGTGGAGGGGTGCGTGGGGCAGGTGCCCGGGCTGGGTGCAGGTGTTGGCATGGCTGCGTGGCCTGTGCTCACGTGGGTGCCCCCGGCTGCCCGGGCGCTGTCTGCGGGGCCGCGAGGCCGGAGGATTCGCGCCGCCCCCGATGGCGGCTCTCGGCACGAACGTCAGGTGTTCAGTGGACTGGGTTTGTCAGTGGGACGTGCTTGCTCGGGGAGAGCAGACGGCTCATCGGCTGCACCCGGGGACGGGGCTGGTGCTGACCCGACGTCAGGGGCCATGGTCGCCCGTGTGCCTTTGGCTTACCTGGGGCTCGGGTGCGACTCTGCAGAGGGTGGGCGCGGGCCCAGACCGCTGTCCCTGCCTCGCGTGGGAGCCCTGGGAGGGACACGGCGGTCAAGGCCAGACGGGGCTGGTAAACGACAGGACCCCAGAGCACTGAGGTCTGGGGTAGGGTCCAGTGGCCCTGCACGTGGCCCCCGGGCGTGGCAGTAGGCTGAGGCCGGGGCTGCTCCCGCGTGCTGGGGACTGAGTCGAGACCGCATAGCAGGCGGGGCTGGGACAGGAGCGTCCTGGTGGTGGTGGCGTGAGCGTCCTTGTCCATCAGGCTAGCTCACCCCATCCTCCTAAGGGCCGCGTCGGGCGGGTGCTGGGACGCGCAGCCGTGTTTGAGGTGAGGGAACAGAGGCAGAGAGGCTCCTGCCTGCTGCCCCCTACGTGGGGGAGCCGGGAGTTGGACCCAGTCGGGCCCCCTGGTTTTGACCCGGCCAGTGGCTCAGAGCTGCAGGAAGTGGGCTTCCGGAACGCCGAGGAGCACGCCCTCCCTGGTGCCCTTTGAGATGCGTTCCTCGGGGCCAAGACACAGCCTTTCTGCACTTCCCACCCTAAACCGCCGCCTTTGGAGTGGGTCTCTGCATCCCCAGCGTTTCGGGGTGTCTGGGGCGTCCTCAGGGCTCACGGCATCCAGGGCCCGCGTTCCCGCACTCCCCACGTGGGAGCAGAGCTCTGGGTAGAGGCCACATGCACCTGCTACCACGCGGCCCTCCCGGGACTTCTGCACCCCTGCCGTCCCCAGCAGCCCCGGGAGCGCCCACTGCCGTCCGCAGTCCGAGGCGCTAGGCTGCACCAGACCAGGCCTCCTCCGTCTGCAAACCTGGAGGTGCCCCGCGTGCCGGGTGACCCGCCTTACCCTCCCGGTGCTCCCAGGGGGGACACTCTGAGCCCCGCACGCTGCTGGAGCCAGCGGGGGTCCCAGCAGCGGGAACAGGCGCCCGTCCAGTCTCGACGGCATCGGGGGAGGGGACGGGCAGCTTTTCCTCACCCGACGGTCGGTGGGTCTCAGGGACCGGTGTGTCCTGGCACGGGGAGCGCTTTCCCGTTCCTGGGCTCCGTCGTGGGCATGTCCTATTGCCTATGCGGCCCCTCCCCCTCTGTGGAGCGTTTCCGTGGTTTTCAGTGTTTCGCTTTCGCGAGCAAGGCTGCGGTGACTCTCCTGGTAGGTGGGTCGTTCTGTGTCGCTGGATCCGAGGGAGATGCTGGGTCAGGGTCCGTGTGTCCACTGCGCTCGGCAGAGATTATGTGCATTTCATGGATGCATGAGGCAGCACGGCGGCTTTGAGAATTTGGGGGGGAGGGCACTCCAAAGCAGCGTCCTGGGCCGGATGCCCCAGTGACCTGGGCAGCCCCGGGCATTCTGCTCTGGGGTTACAGATGCAGAGTTTAGAGCCTCGGGGGTCCTCGGCTTTCTGGTTCTAGCTTCCCGTTGCCGGCGGGCTCGTGGTGTTCTGAGCCGCCCCCCCGCCTCTGCCCGGCCCCTGGCCGCGGCACCCCACTCCGACTGGCAGCCGGGTGTCCCCTGCGGGCACAGCCGAGAGCCCCCGCCCTAGAGCTGGCTCGGCCCCGCGAGGCCCGGCCCACGTGCCCCACGCCGAGTCCCGGGGAGCCGCTGTCTTTTCTGACTGTGTCCGGGCTGAGTTCTGGGGACACAGGCCCGCGGAGAGACCTGTCGGCAGGGGTGGTTCTCTCTCCTCCCCGGACGTCAAGGGGGTGGGAAAGGTGAACTCGGGACGTCCGTCATACGTTCCCCCCTGGAGGGCCAGCGCCTCCTTCCCACGAAGGCTGGTGGCCCCGGGGCCTCGGGGCTGTGGGGGCAGCTTCGTCTGGCGCTGATTTGGCCGAAGGCTCAGATGCTCTGGGTGCGCAGCGGGCGACCCGGCCACGGCAGGTGTCTTCACGGACAGAAGCCCCACCACGGAGCCAAGGCCGGGGTCGGCTCGGGCCTCACGAGGGCCGGTCTGGGCCGTGGCGGCCTCGGGGCACCCCACTTCTGAGCGCCGTCGGAGGCTTGTTTGTGGCCCCAGATGAAAGTCTCCACCATTGTTTACTGGTTGGTTCCAATGGTTCGGGAGCCCCAGGGTGTGGCCGGATGCAAGGAGGACACGTGGGGCGCCATGAGCGCCTCAACGGTCTGACCGCCTGGTATTTGTGCGCGGACCCCGCAGTGGGGCCGCCGAGGGACTCCGGCACGGTCGGCGAACAGCCTGCTCGCACCTGACGCTCCTGCAGGGATCCCACAGGCGATCTGAGCTTCGCTCCCCCTGCACCTACTCCTGGGTATGCTGACAGGAGTCGGAGGGCGAGGACGAAGGGTCGGCCAGCATCTGGGGTGTATGAGCTCTTCCTATAGATTATTGATCGCCCAGATTAGTATTTCCCACAGACGGGTCTTCTCAGGCTTTTCCCATGGTGCTGACCAGGCTCCCTGCTCCACCAGACCCACCTGATCCCGGCAGGTGCAGTCTGTCCCCCCTGGGGGGGGGGGCGCCTCCCTGGCTCAGCCCGAGGTTGGGTCAGTAAGGGTCTGGGTTTTGTGAACTAACTTCCTGGATGTTGGGAGGTTTTCCCTTTGCCGAGATGCTAGCCGGTCCTGTCCACAGGTGACGAGCTGGCGCAGCTTTGGGGTTCTCACACGATTTCGGCAGTAAACCTGTCAACGTTACACTGTGTGTCTTTAAAGAAAATTTATTGTTTTTGGGGGGGTCGGTGGTTACAAAGGTAATGCATACCTGTTCTAGAAAATTTTGAAAATGCAGAATTAAATTAAAACTCACCTGTGACGTTACCACATCGGAGAAAACCTCCAGTAACGTTTCACATCCTTTGGTCTTTTATTCTAAGTGCATGTTTGTGGAATTTGTTTCTTAAAAGCTGAATCTCTCGGGGCACCTGGGTGGCCCAGTCAGTTGAGCGCCTGACTCTTGATCTCAGCTCAGGTCATGATCTAGGGTCGTGAGATTGAGTCCCGCGTCGGGCTCCGTGCTGGGCATGGAGCCTGCTTTAAAAAAAAAAGGGACTCTCTGCTTCCGTTCGTTCCCGTGTTCCACATGTCCCTCGTGGCTGCCGTGGGGCTGCAAATTGGGGGCCGCGTGGTCGGAGAGGCCCGCCCTCTACTTCGGGCTCTTCCTTACTTTCTTCGCTATTCTAAGTAACTTTTCTAAGTAACTAAGTAAACTTAGTAAGTTTCTAAATAACTAAGTAACGCTGCCTCGAACATTCCCGAAGGTCGACCCGTGAGCAGGCTCATAATCATCTCCTCGTGTCATCACACGTGGGAGGGGAGGGATTTGTGCATCTCTTATGTCACTCGTGAGACCTGCGGTGCGTTTCCAGAAGCAGGTCACCTGGCCTCATCCCAAAGACGGTGGAATGTGGCTTCAGAGTCCGTGACCCAGCTGCGTGTCCCCGTGCGGCCACATCCTTGCCTTGTGGTCCTGGCCAGTCTCGTGGCCCTGAGCCGTGGCATCCTCGCTGACTCACGCGGATGCGATCCGTAGCGGTGGCTTCCTGCGGTCGAACGTGGGCTGCCTCTCCGACCACACGGCCCCCAGTTTGCAGCTCCACGGCAGGGAGACATGCGCTCGGTGACGGGCTCCGTGGCCGGGCTCTGGTTCACCCTGACGCTCACCTGTGAGCAGAAGCCCGCCCTCCACCCCCATCCCAGCAGCCACCCTCCGGGCACCTTCTTTCCTTTTGGGCCTGAATGTCCAGAGCGGCCTCGGAGTGAATGGAGGCAGGAGACCAGTCAAGGCACAGATTTCACCGAAAGCCCCCCGTTTTCATGTGTGTGTCCACGGAGTTGAGAGTGGTGTGTGGCCGAGCCCTGGGCTGATTCTGTCCCTGATGGGCCTCATGGTCTGAGGTCTTGGGCTGCTCGACACCTGCCTCCTCACCTCAATTTCCCCTTCTGAAGTTCTGATCTCTGACGTGTTTTGTGACGCCCGGTAATCCCGGAGACCGACTGCAAGAAAGGCGCTCAAGGAGGATGGAGACGGATGGGCCCGCCGGAATGTCCACTCCCTTATCCCTGGCCACCACCACGCCTTTGCATGTGGACGCTGGGACAGGAGGGCCCATCGCTTGCTGCGTCCTGACCCGACGCCAGGCCAAATGCGTGTGCACGTGGTAGCCACCGGGCCCAGGCTCCGGATGCGGTTTCCGGGTGGGGCCCTGTCCCCCCCACCATCCCCTCCACCCCTTCGATGGGAACAGTCCCATGTCTGTGTCCCGGCCTCCCCCTCCCGTCTCCCCTTCTCCGATCGTCTTCTTGCGCTGAAGCCCAGGTAGGGGTAGGGAGAGCAGGGAAGCCGACAGAGAAGAGTTACATCAATATTTTTTTTTAAAGATTTGATTTATTCATGAGAGAGAGAGAGGCGGGCTCCTGATGCGGGACTCGATCCCAGGACCCTGGGACATGACCTGAGCCGAAGGCAGATGCTTAACCATCTGAGCCACCCAGGCACCCTTTCATCAATATTTAATTTTTATGGAAATCATGTCCTAGAAATCCCCAAGGGGCTGGAAATTGTTCTGTGTTTTCAGAATCTGGTGATGTTGCTGAGCGGTTATGTTGTAAATAAAACCGCATTACCGTCTACGGCTCCCCCTCGCTCCGCACGCACCACGAAGCTTGACGGGTTCACCCACGCGAGGAAGCGGAGGGGCTCGGGTCGCCGGTGGGGTGCAGGGTCGCGGGCGGCCACTACAGCTGGGGAGGGGTCCCGCGTGGTGGCGTTTTCTTCTCTGAGCAGAGCCCAGGGCCCACGGGAGCCTGGTGCCCACGTGCACCACCAGCACCTCGGGGGACATTCGACCGTCGGCTGGCACATCCATCAGACGTTCAGTGAGCGTCCACCAGGTGCGGACACGGCTGGAGGGACACTTCCTTCCGGGACACGGGTCCCGTGGGTGCTCTCGAGGACACAGCGGACAGAGCCCAGGTGGGCGTGGAGCGAACGGACACCCCGATGGTGCGTCTGCCCGTGGACGGCGACTCTGCGGTTCCTCCACGGAGGATCCCGCGTGGGCGGAGTGGGCGCACAGACGGCCATCTTGTCCCTGTGTGTTCACACGGTCGTTTGTCTGTGTCCTAATCTCTTATGACGACACTAGTCGGATTGGCTCACACCCGCCGTGGCCCATTTTAACTGATTTACCTCTTTAGAGACCCCGTCTCCGAATACAGCCGCATCCTGAACTGGGGGTAGAACGTGGGCTCGGGACAGATGCCGCGGGTGCGGAGAGATGGTGGGGACCCGCCGGTGCTGTCCTGCACCCCGATGCGGGCCCCGCTGTGGTGCGGAGTGTGCAGGGGTGAGGGACCGCTGTGGCCAACGGTGGGTCTCACAGGTGCAATGGGGGTGGGACTTCCAACCTCTGTCCCGTGTGTAGGGGCCATGGAGGGGAGCCCACGGACAGCGTCAAACTCTCAGGTCCCCTCGCGTGGGGGGGGGCAGCAGAAGTCCCGAGAGATGACGGGGGGGTCACCGAGGACGTGCATCGGGGTGGGGGGTCCTGACCCCAGCTCACAGATAGGAAAACTGAAGCTAGGAGGGGGCAGGCTGCTGAGCTGTGGGGTTGGTGTTGGGGTCTGATGGGTTACACACCTGCTGCTTCCTCCCTGATCCCTGCTCAGGGGAAGCCCACAGACACCCCGAGCCACTGCCTCCCCCGTCCTTCATCCTCCGAAAATCCATGTCTCCAGAGCCTCCTCCAGCAAAGGCATGGAGACCTGTGCTCTGGTCCCAGGGGAGGGGGCGAGCTGGTGAGGAGGCTGGAGGGAAGCGAGGTCCTTCCCCTCTTCCAGGCCAGGAGCCACAAGACTTGTCTGTTCCCTAGAGACTAGGGTTCCAGATGGGCCCCACGGGCTGTCTCAGGGCTTTCCGTGTGTAGGGGGGCTCAGTGCTGTAGCAGCGATGGGCATGCGTGGCGGGGGTGAGCGGGGTGCGTGGTGGGGGCGCTGCATCAGAACAGCGCGGGGGTGCGTGGTGGGTGCGCAGCGTCCGAACAGGGCGGGGCTGCGTGGCAGGGGGTGCGTAGAGGGGCGCAGCTTCGGAACAGGGCAGGGGTGCGTGGTGGGTGCGCAGCGTTGGAACAGCGTGGGGTCTCGGCTTCTGTCTCCACGCGGCAGCTCAGCTCTCAGAGGGACGGGGTCGGGAACCTGGGAGCTCCTGGCAGCGGCCCAGCCGCTGCAGGCGTCCAGGAGGAGGAGGGAGGCGGGGAGGGGTTCTGGTGGGGGCTGCAGGGCAGTGGGGGGGGGCACATGCCCCAGCACAGGAGTCCCCTCCCCCCACTGGGGCTCTGCATCACCCTCCCATGGCTGGGACTCGCCCGGTGACTTTTCTGAGCCCGGGGATCCTCTCTTTGCTGAGCCACACTCAGAAAACGCTATTGATTTTCTTTTTCTTATTTATTTATGAGATTTTTGCTGTAGGCAAAAAATAAAAAGGTCTGTGCGGTGTTGCCTGGGCTGTGAGAGGCTTTCTCGGCCTCCCGCCTCCCTCCCTGCCTACTCTCCCTGCGTTCCCGTTTGCACGAGGCAGGGGCAGGCAGGGGCGAGTGGGGCTGGGTGTCCTTCCCCCTGGGAGCGCCCGCACGCGCCATGCCCGGTGCTGGGCTTTCCTCATAAGGAACGTGCAAGGTGGATCTGATTTCTCTTGTTCAGTGGTGAGGTTCAGAGAGGCTCGGCACCTTGCCCGAGGTCGCCCAGTGCCCAGCGGTCTCCTCCGTGGGGGCAGAGGGAGCAGGGCCAAGCACAGGGGAGGGGGCTGCCCCTGATCCTGGCGGAGCCCACAGGGACTGGGGGAGTCTGTCCCGGCCTGCACCCCCTGCCCGCCGCAGCAGGGTTGGGCTGACCTCCCCAGGGAGCCCCAACCGGAAGGCCAGAGGTCTCCTTGGGGCTTGCGGTCTGTGGGCCCCGCACTGCGCTGTGTGGGCTTACGTGCCCCATTCTGACCGGGCACACACGGGCTCCTGTGGACGCCCCCACCCCGCGTGCCCAGTCCTCCCGCACTCCTGCCGGCCCCCCAGCCTTAGTCCCGGGTCTGCTCGTGCTGTGACTGTTGACCGTCCCTGGCCCGCTGTGAGCTGTCACGTCCATGCGCCGTGCCCCCCCCCCCAGGCTTGAGCTGGAAGGACGGACGTCCATCCCGATGCGAGCTGGGAGGCCCGGCCCGGCGTGCACCCCACATGCTTCTGTCCCCCTCGCTCCTGGCAGGAGTTCCCACTGGCCATCCTGCGGGGCTGGGAGTGCTACTGCGCTTACCCCACGCCTCAGTTCAGCCTTCGGGACGCCGTGGACAGCTCGCTGTGTGGCCAGGAGCCTGAGGCGCAGAGGCTGGCCCCGTACTGCGAGGTCTACCAGACACCCATGCAGGGTGAGTTCGGCACCTGGGGGACGAGCGGGGTCCCGCGCTCCGGGGATTTGGAGAGGCCAGTGTGGCCGTGTGTGGTCCTGGGGCGGGGGGGGCCTCCACCGTCCCTGGAGGCTGGACACGGGACGCTCCTGGCCTTGACCCAAGTCTGGGGATGGAGATAGTTTGAGGAAGAGCAGGAGAGCGGCGAGGCGGGGCCAGCCACCCCCCTGCAGAATCCAGAGCGTTCTGTGCTGTGCGGGGAGCCAGGGCCCGCTGCCCGGGGCATGGGAGGCCTCTCTGGCCACAGGCCTGTGCAGCCAAGCCCTCCCCTCCCTGGGCCTGCCTCAGTTTCCCCGTCGGTGTAGTGGGAGCCTCGGGGCAGCGGGTCCCGGTGGGGCGGTCGGTGGTCAACCTCTGGACTTTCAGACACTCGCTGCACGGACAGGCGGTTCCTGCCCACCAAGTCCAAGGTGTTTGTGGCTCTGTCGAGCTTCCCGGGAGCCGGGAACACGTGGGCGCGGCACCTCATCGAGCACGCCACCGGCTTCTACACGGGGAGCTACTACTTTGATGGGACCCTGTACAACAAGGGTGAGTGAGGGCCAGGGCAGGGGTCCCCGGCTGCGGGGCAGGACCTGTCCACACAGCGGTCTCGGTCTGCAGGGGGCCAGGGGCCCCAGGGGCTGGACAGGCCGCGTGGGGTGGCCCGCGAGGTTCCCCCTCTGAGGCTTCCGGGGACTGGCTCAGGGTGGCCACTGGCCTCTGCACCAACCCACAGTGACACGCACAGTGCCCGGCCAGTCCTGGGCGAATGTGGCCCGTGTGACGGGCGAGAGTGGTGCTGTGGGGACAGCCTGCCGCGCACGGAAGGCGCCGTGGGTGTCAGGGTGTCAGGGACCAGATCCCGTGTTTACAGCCTGTGGTCTGGCTCCTCCTTCCCCTGGAGCGTCCCAGCGTCTGACAGAAGGAGCCCCGGCGAAGGCTGACGGGGTTTGGCGTGTTGAGTTCCAGTGGGCGAACCCCGATGCAGAGGAGCCTTGTTTCCCGGCATCAGAGAACCCGTCCCTGCTCGCTGCACCTTCACGTGTCCCCAGCCGCTCACGAAGCGGGTGGTGCTGGGGCTCATCGGCGTCCCCAAGAGCCCAGGAGAAGTGCGTGCTCGTTTATGGAGCACGGGTCCCAGGCTCACGGACCCCGGATCTGTCGGGACGTGGCCAGAATCTAGGTTCAGGGACGCCTGTCCAGGGGTCCTTCCGTGACATCGCGCTGCACCCCTGACCGGTCCTCTACTCCTAGTTCCTGTGAGCCCCTGTGCTCGGCAGGACTGCACGTGGAGCCCCTCCATCCGCAGCGTAAAGCCCACCGCGGAACAAGCACATAAGCGTCCTGTTGACCCGTGTGACTCTGCTACGGTGGGGAGGGCTGGGTCCCGCTGCAGGACCGCAGCATAAGGTCTGACAGGCCTCGCGCCTGGTGACGGGGATCCCGCCCCCACTGCCGGGAAGGGGTGGAAGCCAGGCCTCCCAGGGACACACGCGGCACGTGCCCAGAGCCCTGCGCTGCTGTGTGACCTCGGGCAAGTCTCGTACCCACTCTGAGCCATGCCTGCAGCCGCCACTAACTCGTGGGCTGTTTGTGGTGCTTGGGGGACATCTCCGTGCAAATGCCCACACGCACGCACCTCCAGGGTCCAGAGGGGTGTCAGGCCTCTGCCCCCCAGCTTCTGGGTCTCCCGGAGGCGTGTTCAGCTCTGCCTGCTGCCGTGGCGGGGCCCGACGCGGTCCTCAGGGGCCTCCGCTCTCCCCGCAGGGTTCAAGGGCGAGAAGGATCACTGGTGCAGCCGGCGCACCATCTGCGTGAAGACCCATGAGAGCGGCCGGAGGGAAATCGAGATGTTCGACTCGGCCATCCTGCTGATCCGGAATCCGTACAGGTCCCTGGTGGCCGAGTTCAACCGCAAGTGTGCCGGGCACCTGGGCTACGCGGCCGACCGCAACTGGAAGAGCAAAGGTAGGCAAAAGGGGTGGGCAGCCCGTGGCGGGGCCGGGGGGGGACCCGCCCCACAGTGTGGCCGAGACGCGGGTCCGGGGGGCGGGTGTTAGGGCACGGAGCGCTCAGAGGGAAGCTGCGTCCAGCAGGTGCAAGGCCATGGGGCAGGCAGGCCCGTCCCTGTAGCCTCGGCCCCGGCTGATGCCTCCCGTGGCCTCCAGCCGACCCTGCCCCTTGCTGACCCCCCGGATGCAGGAGGCTGAGCTCTGGTCCCTCCTTGGCTCTCGTGAGCCTCAGTTTACTCATCTGAGACACCAGGGTGGTCCCTGTCTCGGAGTCATCATGAAGACTAGGGAGAGTGAAGGCTCTCGGTGGCATCTGAGGTGTGCGGGTGGGATAGTTACAGCAGCGGTGTTTGTTGACATTTGCACCTTTCCCCACCAAAACAAAAAGCCCGCCAGCTTTCTAATTTGCTAGGATAGAAATCTCACGGAGTAGACCATTGGCAAAAGTTGGCGGCTGCCCGGCGGCGTCACAGGGTAGACTGGCCACCCCCCCAACGAGACAGGTCGGCATCAGGCAGGGACCAGGTTCACTTAGCCTCACAGGAGGCCCCGGGGCAGGCGATCGGGCCTGTGTGCGTCCTTGCCGAACCCCTGCTCACCCTGGTCACCCGGGACAGGTGAAGGCGGATGAGGGTCATCCCGTTTCCCACCTGTCATTAACCCTACTGTGCCACGTGGGCCCCGTGGCTCTCCCTGCCCCAGCGTGGGCCCAGCGGTCACGGCACTCACCGTCCACGAGAGAGGGAACCGGTTCTTGGCACACATGGTCCACGTCCGTCCTCACGTGGTGCTGCCACGGCCACGGATGCAGCCACAGCCACGTGACCCGGGCTGGCCCGGGGGTGCTGCTCTTACTGCCCGCAGGTCGTCAGGAGGGCCTCATCTGTGGGGCCCTCGCCTCCCCACCCCGGCGCCCAGGAGGCGGGCCTGACGGGCGCCCTCTCTCCCGCGCAGAGTGGCCGGACTTCGTGCGAAGCTACGCGGCGTGGTGGTCCTCGCACGTGCTGGACTGGCTGCGGTACGGCAAGCGGCTGCTGGTGGTGCATTACGAGGAGCTGCGGCACAGCCTGCTGCCCACGCTGCGGGAGATGGTGGCCTTCCTCAACGTGTCCGTGAGCGAGGAGCGGCTGCTGTGCGTGGAGAACAACAAGGAGGGCAGCTTCCGGCGGCGCGGCCGGCGCCCCCAGGACCCCGAGCCCTTCACGCCCGAGATGAGGGCGCTGATCGACGGCTACATCCGGACGGTGGACAAGGCGCTGCGCGACCACGGCGGGGCCGGGCTGCCGGGCGAGTACGTGCCCAGATGACGGCCCGGACGCTGCCCCGCGGCCTCGCTGGGGCCCGGCTGCCGGAGCCGCCGCAGGCCCCCCTGCGCTCACAGACCCGTCTCGCGGGGCCACGCGCGCTGGGCCGGGCCCTCTCGGACCCGCAGACGCCGGCCCGCCCGCGCGCGCTGGGCTCCCAGTCCGGCTTCCTGTTTCGCGCTGCAGACTCGCCGGCCAGGGTCCTCGCCCCCGGACGCGGGGCTGGGCGGGCGTCGGCGCCGTGGGCAGCGAGCACCCCGGCGTGGGCATGAGCTCACGGATGCTGCTGGACCCCGCGATCCTGACGGCGCATCAGACGCCCCATGAACACGTGTAGCGTGGCCATCAGGCACCCCGGTGCACAGCCCTACATCTCCCTTCTCTGTAGGCGGGCTGGCAGGACTGGACAGAGTAGACCCCCCCCCCACCGCACACCGACCTCAGGACCTGCCACAGCTCTGTGCACCCCACAACCCCGTCCAACGTCAGCACTCCTTGGAGGGGCCCCCTTGCCCCGCTTTTCCCTCCCGTGTCCCAGAGGCGGGTGTGAGGGCGAGGGGGCATGGGGCAAGAGGGGCTGGCCTCCAGGGGAGCCCCAGACCCGAGGGGCACACAGGCCTGCAGGGGGGCTTGGGGTGCACATGGGGAGACCCAGGAGGGACAGGTCTTGGGGATCACTTGGCCCCACCCATCTTGGCCATGTCCCCATCCACACAACCCTCGAGGGAGGGGCCACGGCCAAACCTTCTGTGTTCACCCCCGCCCGGTCCCTGGGGCTCATTACCACGCCCTCTGTCTCTGCGTGAGGTTGCCATCTCTCTCAGTCACTCACCCCGGAGGAAGGGTGCTCACGGACGCCGTGGCCTGTTGTGTGCTAGCCCGGCAGTGTGTGTGGGGGGAGGGTAGGAAAGCCCCCTACCCCAGCTCACAGCCTCGGGGGGCAGGGGAGGCTGGTCCCAAACAGGAGTTAACCCAGTAGCAGAGGAGCGTGCGTGCGCTCAGGGTCTCCACGCTGCTGGTCCGGAGGAATCTGTAGGGATTTCCCCAGCGGAGCAGAGGGAAGGGCGTTGAGGCAGAGAGAACAGCGTATGCAAAGGTTCAGAGGCTTGGAGAACGGGTGTGGGGCGTGTGTGTCTGAGTGCGCAGCTGGGGACGGAGTGGTGGGTGAGGACAGAGGTGGGGACACAGAGGGACTGTCCTCACAGCGGCCTGGTGCTCAGCCTGAAGGAACAGAGCGCCCTTCAGAGACCGACTCTCAGGTTCAGAATGAGGCTGTGCAGACCAGGGCTCTGGTCTGGGGGTGGGGCTGGACCCTTGCGAGGTGGGTGGTGGTGGGCGGGCCCCTCAGCAGCTTCTCCAGGCTTGGGGTGACCGCAGCTGGGCCCCTTGGTCTGTCCTCCTACGGCCTGAGCCAAGCTGCACCAGGGGAAGAAAATGGGGAGAGGCTTGGGGAAACCGGCATTGGAACGTCCTGAGCCTGCACTCCCCGCCGGCTGCAGGAAGCCGAGAGCCACCACAGGTGGGCAGGTGGGTGGGGGGCCCGGCGGGCTGCCCCTCTTCAGAGGGAGGCCTCCACGGCCGTCCCCGGCTCCGCCAAACCCACACTGGTGCCGAGCCTGTCCCGGCCCTCCCACAGCTGCGCTCGGCATGACGCTGGAAGCACCAGGTCTTGCTAAGCGTTTATTGGCACGGCTCTGGTTCCACCATCCAGTCTGGGTCGGCCCGATAGAGCGGTGTCTCCAGCGTCGCAGGAAGAGGGGAGACCTGCCGCGAGGCCCCACCTGCTGTGGAAGGCGTCCCAAGGGACAGCTGCGCCCCCCAAGCAACCCTAGAGTCTCGAGGGGATGGAGGGCCGGATGCTGGCTGCCTCCTGAGATTGGCTCCCAGATCTGGCCCTCACTCTTCCGGCCGCCGGGGAGACTTCAGGGACAAGACCCGGACGCCGGGGAGGCTGGGAAGGGCAGAGGTGTGGCTGGAGGGCCGACCCACGCTGGCCCTCGGGCCTCCCACCCTCCTGCCCACCCTGGAGTCAGGACAGCAACAGCCAGCCCCTCACCCCAGTAGATGGTTCATTTCCTGCTGCCAGGTGCCCAGAGACCTCCCTTCCTTCCCGGGGGAGAGCTAGCTGCTCAGACGGCCTTGCAACTTTCAGGGCACCTCAGCCAGACCTGCAGAAGAGTGGAATGACGGGGTCACCTGCATTGACTCACACTGAGTCGGTACACAGTCGGGTGCCCGACACGGGGGTGGTGCTCCTGGGTGTCCGATGAGCAAGGACGTGCAAAGGCCCTGCTGCTGATTCTCCGTGGCTGTCACCACAGCCTGTCCTGGGGGAGAGCCCGGAGGCACGGGAAGGGGCTCGGGGTGTCCGTTTGTCTCTGCAAGTGAGGCGTCCTCAAGCTCTCAGCTTCTCCCATCAAGCCTCTGCTGCCCTAAGCAGCCAGGGAGCAAAAGCCAGTGTGAATTTGGTGGAGGATTGTGGTAAAACCCACTTCCTGCAGATTCCACCTGTGAAATCACGTAAACCTGTGTTAAGACATGTAATCTCCATGGTTTTCATCTCCCGTTGTCGATCAATTTGGAAACACCAAAATACATAATTTAAAAAAACTAAAACACATTTCTGATAATCCCAGCGATGTGTAAATGAGACAGAAGAATAGACAGGCTTCCAGACCCTGGGAAGAAAGCTGCTTAATTATGTGAGCATCTTGTAATGAAGCCTCTTGCAGCTAAAATTAGATCCTGAGTGCATGAATATGTGATAATGTTTGCACACCCGAATGCATTTTCCCCTTAAAACGTGGCAGGAGCTCCTTGGTTCTTGGGGGGGCCCTTAGGGGTGGGGAGATGGGAGTGCTTGGGGGGTCCTCGCAGCTGCAGGGATGCTTGGGGCAGAGGTGTGTTTTTCTGCGGCTGGAAAATCCCCGGGGGTCTAGCAGGAAACTGATGGGTCTGGGGGCCACACTGCTCACCGCTCCCAACAGGACCAGTTGGCCTAGACGAGGTGGAAATGGAATGGAAGGCAGACTGCGAGCCGGGCAGGGCCATGCCCCCCTGTTCCCGCCCCCGTTTCCTTCCCCAGCAGCCCTGGTCTCTGGGGGACGGGGGGATTCGTGTTCATCACCATCTCTGGGGTCGGGCCCCCGGCTGGACAAAGCCAACGGCTCCTTCCGTCTCTCTGGCGATGGGTGGGTTCAGGGATGGTCCTGTGAGCTACAGGGGTGCGGCCGGAGGGCATCTCAGGACGCACGGAGCGTGCACTGCTGGTGGGAGGGGAGGTCGGCGGCCCTGGGTCTGCAGAGGGGCCCACCCTCCAATGATGCTGGTTCTGCCGCGGGGGTGGTCGGGGGCACAACCAGCCAGGAACTTGGTGGCATCGTTAAGAACGCTCATGCTTTGCCTGTGACCAGCCCTCCCTCTGGATGGTTTTGTCACATGAGCCAATAAATCCCCTTTCTTGTTCACCTCGGGTTGTCGGACTTCTGTTCCTTATGGTCCGCGGGCTTGGTGCCGGGTTCTTTCCGTCTGCGGCTGATGGAGATGGAGGCCGAGCCTCGGCCCAGTTCAAGCTGGGGGTCCGGGGACGGTGCCTTTTCCCAGAGCAGAGACCTCGTCCCGCGTGCGCCTTGGTGGGGGGAGAGATCTGGCTTCTGAGCTGAGCTGCCCCAAGCGCAAGCCCTCTGCTTCACAGACGAGGGACCTGGGACTCCCACGAGGTCGCGCTAGAAGGACGAGCGCGCAGAGTGAGGGCAGGAGCGCGGGCTCCTTCCGCGAAACCACCTGACCGCCCTTCTGCTGCATCCCTTTAACTCTTGGAGGCGTCACCACAGACAGGGCAAGTGTGCAGAGCCAGCTCATTTGGAAGCGACCCCATTAATCTCACTGCTGGTTCTTCGCCAGAATACACTTTGGTGGGCGCCCGAGGTCAGTGCCGAGGGCCATTTTATCAGAGCGTAGCCAGGACTTGAAGACCTGCCCAGACGGAGCAGGGAGAGGGACTGTGCCCGGGTGTTCATCCTCCGTCCTGGGCATCCCAGACACAGAAGGGTTCTGCTCCCTCGGGGGGTTCACCCGCAGGACAGGCGGGTGCCCCCTCGCATCGCGGGCCAGCCCTCCTGACCACCAGACAGGCACCCAGTCACCCGGACTTCGGCATCAGGTTCCTCAGTGATCTTGTCCCCACAGTCTGAGCCCCGCACCCAGCTGACACGGTGCGATTGGCCAGAGGTTGAGATCACACCCCACCAGCATCAGCTGGGCCGCTTCTCCTTTGCCACGTGACAAATTACCACGAACCCAGCAGCTCGAGCCCACCCCCAGGCACCCTCCCCTGGCTCCCGTGGGTCAGGCATCCGGGTGGACCTCCGTGGGCCGCCCGCCATCAAGGTGGTGGTCCCACTGGAGGCTTGACTGGGGATGTGTCTGTGCCCAGGCTCACCCACATTTTTGGCAGAATTGAGTTTCTGTGGTGGTAGGACTGAGGCCCTCAGTCCCTCCGGCCTGTGCACGGTCCTGACATGATGGGGGCCTCTCGTAGGAAGATCGCAATGTGGCTGCCAGCAGGAGGGTGACCCAGGGTCCCACATCTTCTACATGATCCCAGGAAGGCCGTCCCGTCACCTTAGCCGCATCCACCAGACAGAGCACGTCACAGCCCTACCCCCACTCGGGGCGGGGGTCCCACGAAAGCATGAACCCCAGGAGGTGGAGATCCCTGGTGACCAACTCGGGGTCTGTCCACCACAACACCCGTGTGGGAAAAGTCCAGAAATCCGTACTTTCTGCTCCGCACTGGGCTGCACTGAGTGTGGTGTGTGTTTGGGGGCATCATCTGGGGGGTGTCAGCTTTCACCCGCATCACCACGAGTCAGGGCCGTGTCCCCAGTCCACAGCGGCCACTCTGTACTCCTTTCCAATTCATCCTGCACAGCGCACAGTGGGTCTTTTGCAATCTGGACTTCTTTAATTTTAGGACACCATTAACTATTTTTGAGTTGAACGTTGCCCCTCCCCCCAGCGTCCCTCTCGAATTCCTCACTCCCTGGCGCCGGGACTCCAGAGCCCAGCTGCATCCGTCAGCATGCGGCGGGCCGTTTCCCACACTTGCTGTCTCGATCCCACCGCGCGGGTCCTGCACTTTGATCCTCAAAAATTATCATTTGCTCTTCACTGCATACAGGTCCCATTAACCTACCTGTCAATTTCCATAATTATGTGTTGTTTTTTTTTTAATTCCTAGAACTTCTAATTGATTTTTATCCCAATCTGCACTGGCTTTGTGGATGATGCCCCTTCACGTCTACTCACAGACATTAAATACACTCAGTGCTCTGTTAACTCTATTTCCTTGGGTGTGAGTTTCTCTCTTTGTCGACTTTGTGGTCTCTTTCGTGGTTCTGGTCCTCATCGGAGTTTTGGCGGCTCTGCATTCATTACAGAAGAGGAGGATGGTGTGGGGTCGACCTTCCTGGTGGCCCCAGGTTTGGGACCTCAGCCAGCGACCCTGTGAATCACCCCGAGTCCACCTCCTGCTCCCCAGTTCCACGGACTGCTGGTGGGATGCACCCACCTTTCTGAGGCACAAGTCCGGCCCCATGCTGGGCGCTCACCGCCTCTGATCTTCCCATCTGTTTGCCGCCTCTCAGGGTTTGTCCCATTGCTGTCCACGTCTCGCCCTCCCGGGCATGTCATCGTTTGGGCTTAATTCAGGGAAGGAAAAGCTGAGCAAGTGCTTTCCTAACCAGCCACCGTGAGAACTGGATCCCTGACCATGAAAATCAGATCAGATGACCATGAGCATCGCCAGCAGATGGGCACGTGTCTTCTCCTCTCTGAATTTCAAGTTCTTCGTTAAAAAAAAAACAAACCTGAGAAATTTGAAAGAACTCTCTGAGATCTCACCCGGCTTGGATGTTCGACAGTTCTCCTGATGCCGTCCACATCTTCTGGGGAAAAAGCCCCACGTCTGCACCTGCTCGGGACACTGGGCCACCAGCAACATCCCAAAAGCCAGACCTTCACTCGAGAGCCCAGTCTCTGTCAGGTCTTCCCAGAAATGGACAGTGCCATGGAAAAACATCAAATACTCTTAAAATGACTTTTGTATATTCCGTCCATTCGTCATGTTTTGAGTTTGGTAAATAATCACCATTTTCAATTCATGCAAAAAGCCCCAATTACACATTTACTTCACTGGATTTTTTAAGCCAGTGGGGACAGGGACAGTGCTGTATTTTGTAGGGACCTTTCTAGCCTCAGCTCCTGGCATAGGACTCACACGTGGGAGGCACGGCAAATATCAGGGGAAGGAAGTAGGGATGCATGAAAATCTTAAACCAGGGCGCCTGGGTGGCTCAGTCGTTGAGCGTCTGCCTTCGGCTCAGGTCATGATCCCAGGGTCCTGGGATCGAGCCCCACATCGGGCTCCTTGCTCGGCGGGAAGCCTGCTTCTCCCCCTCCCACTCCCCCTGCTTGTGTTCCTGCTCTCGCTGTCTCTCTCTGTCAAATAAATAAATAAAATCTTTAAAAAAAAAAAAAAAAAAAAAAAAAGAAAATCCTAAACCATCTGGCTTTTCAAGTTTTCCAGGAAAACAACCACTGTTTGTGAGTTGGGGGGACGTGGCTGAAGACACCTGCTGACCACCCCCCGCCTGCTGAGACGGTGGGGGACGAAGGTGAGCTGTAGGATCCCAGGCAGCAGAACGAGGGGGACAAACAGCAGTACCCCAGCTCTCTGGAGAGTTGAACTGAAGACACATGTTCCTGGTCAACCACCTGTTCCCGTTTGCAGAACAGGAGACAAAGCAGCAGGGCTTTTGTCCAAAGCCCTGTTGGGGGATGTTCGGGAAGATGGTCTAACCAGCATCACCCGATCTTTGCCCCTGGTTCTGCCGCTTGGTACCTGACGCTGAGCCCCAAACCTCCGGCAATGCTTTTTCTCCTAAACGGAAACCTCCTTTCGATCAGAGGCCCCGAGGTGTAAACGGAGACGCCCCCCTTTCTCCTAAGGGCAGCAGGAGGGCGAGTGTGTTTGCATACGTAATGAGGAGAGGGAAGGATGCGGTGCCGCCCCCAGACCACGCACACATGCTCGCCCGGGGGACCACCGGGTTTCTCCCCCAGCCCCACCGCCCAGACGAGGGGGCCAGGGTGGGAAATGCAGGGTGCCTGCCTCCCACCCCAGCAGCAAACGTCACCGTTAGTGATCCACTGACCACCGTGCAGCAAGTCGCCCCCAAACAGCCGTAACTTAGAGCCACAGACTCAGGGTTCGTGTGGGTTGGGAATCAGGCACGGCTTACGTGGGTCCTGTGGCCCACAGACCCTCTTGAGGCTGTGACGGGGAGGTGGCCGGGCCGCACGCTCCTCTGGGGGCTCCACGGCGAGAGGGCTCACCGCCAAGCCTCTCACCCCACCGTGGGCAGGACTCCTCGCAGGAGGAGGACCTCCCCGTTAGGTCCTCACCCGCAGCTCGCCCCATCAGAGTGAGGAGGGGAGGGGGGTACAGGGTGTGAGTCTTCGTGACGAGCCCCATGAGTCCCACCTCTTTGTTGCGTTTGGGCGTTACGTCGGCTAGAAGGACATTCCCAGGTCTAGCCTGCACCCAGAAGAGGGGTCACGCAGGGGCATGGGTGCGGGAAGGCGGCCCCTTTGGGAACCCTGGTCCTGCACTGGGGTCCCCACACATCCACCCGCAGCTGCTCCCCGCCCCCACCCCTCCCCGCACAGGGCGGCCCTCAGCATCCTGCTGCACCCTTCCTGCGGGCTCGCCCTGCAACCGTGTATCCGAGCAAACGTGGACAACTGTCCGCTCCCCACACTCAGCCTAGGAGGGTCCCCGAGGCCGGGAAAGCCTGGTCAGACATGGGGGGCTCTCCACGGGCTCACCCGCAGAAATAGCTCTCCGCACAACCCCCAGGCTCCCCTCTCTGCAGCCACGTCAACCTCCGTCAGATGATGAAGGGCTTGGCTCTCCGTGGGAGACCTTCACGGTCACCTTTCCGCCAGCCAGTCACCTCTGATGGACACAGAGTCTAACAAGATGTTCAGAGAAAGCCACAGGCTCCTTGCTTTTGCCACGACATCACGCCGGGTGCGGGCCCGACCGCTCTCTGCCTCACGCACCATCCCCACGGGACCCAGGGCACGGAGTGTGATCTTTAGGGAAACTATCCGTGTCCTCTCCCTCGTCTTATTAGCATGTAATTCCAAGAGAGGGTTCCAGATGTATGGAAAGGTGACAGGATTGGAATTCAAATTCCCACTCAAATGGCACAGAAGCCAAGGGCCGTGGGACCGTCCCTGATGCCACTGAGTCCAGCGGAGGATGCGTCCGGGTGGGGCTGGGTCTCCCCCGCCCAGGGCACTGACTAGGGCTCATCCCGGACCTCGTCCCTGTCACCGGCGGGCGCCTTTTCTCACACTGGTGTCCTCCCCGTGTGAACAATGCACGAGGGTTTACTTT